AGGTTATTGGGCGTAGCGCTAATATTCTCCAGCGAATCTGCCATAATGACTATATCGTCTGCAAATCGAAGGTTTAAAGTGTATATTCGCCATTGATGCTGATACAGTATTTAGTCCAGTAGTTTTAGAATGTCTTTCAATGCAGTGGTGAAGACTACTGGATGGACATGGAATTGACTACCACTGATTAACCAGGTTGTCACTAGATGGCAAGACAACCTAATAAGATAGGTATGCAAGAAGTTGATGGATGCAGGTGGCTGAGGACCATGTTGTGTAGCATTGCTTAGGTAAGGTCGCTGTTTAGCAGTGGAGTGGTATTTGAAATTGCTAATTATGAGGGAATTTATAATCTAATTCAAAGAGCTGACCACCATTTTGACTAACATATTAGATACAAAGCTAAAATTTTGCATACTGATATTTCTGTTATTTAAATTAAAATTAGTATAATAAGACAATTATCATAACTCTAAGAGCTTATAAAATACTAGGTTTCGTTATGCATGTCTCAAAAGATTTAAAAATCCTACAGCATTAATTATACTTATTTAACCCTCTGGTGTGGTCTGTTCTTGTGTATTGTTCTTCATTTTGGAATCCTCAATACAATGTTTATGTTAAAATGAGCAACAATAAGTTTCTGCCTCACTTTTAAAAATATAATTCTTCTGTAGACTCCATTATTAATAAATTAGACAGTAAAACCCTTGAGAGATGCCATAACAGAAGAGATCAAATGTTCTTGTACAAATTGCTACATAATATGACTCTCCCCTACTTTTAAGCAAAGTCAATATTGCATAATATATAAAACTCTTTTTGCATTATGTAAAGTTAAAATGAAATACACTTTCAAATAATGTTTTCTCTCAAAAATATAAAAAATTAACTTAAAATATTGTGAACTTGATACTTTTCACCTCAAATATAATAGTTATAAAAAAATATTGTGAAACTTAATTTATAATTGGTAGCTTTACTATAGGTTGTGTGTATGGTATTACTTTTAACTGTTTAGTACTTAATGTTTATTTATAAATACCATTTAGTTATTTTCCTTCTTTTATATTTTTTAAATTTTTATACATATCATGTTGGCAAGATTTTACTATGTATAAGATATCCGTGGAAACTTTAATAATTTTAGGATTACTTTTATACGTTTTATAATGTATTTTTTATATTGCACTGTATGTTTCCCTTAAAAAGCAAATAAATAAATTAAAACTACTTTTACGGATTTTATCGCGTTTATTTTTACTTTTTATTTTTAATTCCCGACGTTTCGGGCGCTTCTCTTATATAGGACAAACCAAAAGATCAATTAGGACCCGCGTAAAAGAACATATAGCTGATGAGAAGCATCAACGTTCCGGGAAGTCTACAATTTGTGATCATATCCTAGACGGCCCCAACCATTACATCAGATTTGATAGACCACAAATCCTCGCGAAAGAACACCAATTCCTACCAAGGATGATACGTGAGGCTATTGAAATTAAAAAACATCCTAATTTCAATAGAGAAGGAGGCTGGGTACTACCACCTGCTTGGAATCCTATAATCAATAAAATTAAAACTAAACCCAAGCATACCACTGCAAGACCTCAAGACATAGTCAGTTCATTTTGCATAGATCGGACCATAAACAATAATTAAAAAAGCTGAAGGTACTCCGGGTTTAACAATGACATCAGGACGTCAGTCATCTCAGTCCCCCGTGACCATGGGTGCTGGAAAGCGCCCGAAACGTCGGGAATTAAAAATAAAAAGTAAAAATAAACGCGATAAAATCCGTAAAAGTAGTTTTAATCATGTGCAATGTTCGCGTAAATATAAGAAATCATTAAATAAATTAAAATAAAATAAAATTACAACCCTAGGTTTGTAGTGGAACATTAACCTCAAAATTCAAAATAAAATAAAATGGCATGTTATTTATTATTGCCTTAATCTGCATCAATACCGTAATGATAATTCACTTATCATTACCATTACATCCTAAAGTCTACTGCTGAACAAAGGCCTCCGCCATAGATTTCCACATAGGGGGATATGTGCCATAGTTGCCAAGCTTGGCAAGCAGATTGGAAATCGAATTTATTAATAGTCATTATTAGGAGCAGACTGATGCCCATCTCCTGATTGGTTTCCCTCTGTCACCCCTTACAGCACCCACGGGATGATATGGGGCAGTCGATATTCCTTGATTTGCACATTTTTATAAAATAAAAATATCCCAGGTGATTGGGTACAAATACTTCTGACAACTCTCTCTCTCTTTACTCTGACAACTTCACGACTCATCTGGAGCCTAAAATTGTCTGAAAAACTGGGATTATTTCATAACACAGATCATAAAGAAATATTCTTTGACACTGAGAAAATAATACATTTACAACAAAAGTGCTCTATATTTAGGTACATATTCTTTGACTAAGGGTAAATGCAGTTAGGTATCAAAATATACATGTAACATGAGTACTAGTACCCTCTCCTGCACTTCGATCAAATATAGCAAATAATACACTAGACATATGTCAATCATGAATTATTCATTCATTTGACCCATGTAGCATCAAAGTATTGATAGTTACAATTACATTTTTTGAACATTCCAGGGATCAAACAATCGACGAGACCTACGACCAACTATAACAGTAATGTCTGACGACTGACATTATTGAATGGGTCTCACAGATCACATAATCCTGAAACTCAAAATAATCCATTTAAATAATTGACCCAAAAGATCTGGGTCATAAGCTAAATAAATACTTGAATGATTGGGTCACTAGAAATGAATGAACAATACATGTCTATAATACACTGACCTAAGTGTAGTAAGGTAGTAACGTGGCTGTCAATATAGGTACACAAAAATGCTTAAATTCTTTGCTGCCCGTATCTCCTAAAGCTCAAGGTCGCTCAGTGAGCTATGCTTGGAGTTTCTTTGCTAGAAAGTACGGACAGACATACTCATTACTAGCATAAAAGCATGCTTTTATTGACCAATTATTCATTAGTAGCATGTGTGTCATAACATTGCTAGTAATAAGCATGCTTAAAAATCAACCGATGATTGATTTTCGAGCATGGTATCTGAAGTGTGGTAGACAGTTGCTGTCAATTTAAAATAAAAATATGTCGCGTTGGGGGGAAGAAAAAACCTTACTTTTTCTTCTTACACCATTCGGGGCCAATCAATATGATTATTTTATTAAGTTCTGTACTGATAGCACTGTCACTATATCCTTGTACATCCATTTCGGCCGAGAGCCTGGTGCCAAATAGCATTTCTCAGTGTGAATTTTTTTGAGCATATCTGTACATACCATGATAGAATTCACAACGAAGTAACTGACATGGCCCAAAGATCAGCAGGCTAAAGTGGCAATAAGCCAGCGATATAGCTTGAAAAACCAACAACCAATGGGAAAGGAAGATTCTCATATGACTACCTTCTTTATCTTACATGCACTTGACTCTCACTGCTGATTGATTCATAAGGCTTTAGCGGCAGATTCATGATGAAAAATTTACTAATTCACTTTTTATACATGTAATAGTAGCAGTTGTGAAAGTATGATAATATAACTTAAAAATAAATACCTAATGTTTAAAAAAATTTAATTTAATTTCTAGCTACTGTAAAAAGTTTATATTCATTAATTTAAATACTAAATGAACAATAAGCTCCTTCATAGTAATTTTTTACCCATAAGGTATGCAAAGTAATAAGATAAAGGGAACATATGTAATTTTTGAGGACATTAACAGTTTCTACAATTGACTCTCCTACATAACAGATGAATTTCAAAAACATATGTACAAAAGCTTGTCACTAACAAGGTTACCTGAATATGTCACAATCACAAGTTGTTACTTTTTTATAAAATAAGTATCTATAAAGTATCTCGCGAAATTTCTAGTATTAAGAAAAACGCAGTTTTTAAATTTAATTAAAGGACCAGAAAATGTAGTAGAAATTTTATCCGTTTAAAAACTCTCAGTAAGACCGGAATATATTTAAAAAAGCCACTTTACATTAATTGTAAAAATATGTACTTACGATTTTGAATGATGTGCAATGAAGCAGCGTAGCATTCGCTTATTTAGCACTAACTAGTTGTACCCCATAAAGCACAACGTATTCACTGGACGAAAAATAAAATGAATAACCGATTGATCCTATCACAATCGTGTTAGGCGACCGTTTATAGCTAATCTGCGCAGAAGTTATTGTAATACTTTTTGCAATTATATATTGTATCACACAGGAACAAGGCAATTAATAAAAAAAAACATTAATAAAACAACTTAGAACCGCACAATTAAAATATTAAACTGAACAATCTCATTTCTTTTACACCAGACTGGTCCACACCACAAGATCCAAGGAATATTGCGCATGCACGCATCTACTTCGCCAACGACAATTCAACGTTGAATTGACAATGACATAATGACATATGTAAAATTGACAACAGAAGTCGTAAGTTGCCTGTTACTATGGTTATTATTATTCAATGTTACTTAACGTCAATATTCATAACTATTTGTTACATATAGTTATAAACTTTAATTTAACTATAATAAAAACATTAATTATGTTATTAGTTACACTCCGGATTAGTACAACAAAAAAGTTATGTATATATTTTGCGGAATTAAATAGGAGGTCTTGTTTTTGAACGCATTTAATAAAGTTAATATTCACAGTTATCTGTTACATATAGAATAAACATTAATTCAACTATAATAAAATCATTACTACTGTTATTAATTACACTCCGGATTAGTGCAATAAAAATTATGTATATATTTTACGAAATTAAATAGGATGTCTTGTTTTTGAACGCATTTAACAAAATGTTGACACTTGACAATTGACATTGTCGATAAGTATAAAGATACAAAAATTTTGTCAATAAATAAAACTGACGTGTACTTTGTAGCTTAAATTTTTTTATGTATTTCTATAATTAAATATCATAATGTCAGACTCTGAGCGATTACTCAATAATGGTGCAACTTCAAGAGAAAATGATGAATCAAGAGCAGATGGTGATACTGCTGTTGGTGTTTCTGATCGTGAAGCATATTTTCAAGCTCTTCGACTTTGGATACAGCAAGCGCAAATGTACCAAAACTTCTCCACTTGCTTCCCTTATTACATGATGACTTTTCAAGGGCTTCACAATAATCCAACAAATGTACCACTTTTGAATAATAACTACCAGTTTCAAGGACACCAGTTCCCATTTCAAGTACCAAATCCTAGACCAACTCCGGAAAACCCACATCCAGCTGAACCTCTTACACCTGCTGAAGGTATATTTGTCACCTGCTGTTATCATGTTTGATACATTTTTAGTTCATTAATTTAATTAATTAAATTTGAAACTGAAAATGTTTCAGTTATTACCAGGAATGGAGGTTATGAGTATATCATACCACCACTCTACAAACGATTGTTAGCTGAATTTATTGATTTCATGCTACTGTTTATTCTTAAACTTATTGTAACATTCATAGCAGTGGATATGTTTGAGTTAATGTAAGTATCTATTACCTTTTCACTCAGTATCTATTACTTTTTGTAACCAGGCACAACAATTTCAGTTGCAATGAAATATATTATTTTTTATTTAGAATTTAATATTTCTCAATATATAAAAATTAGACTTGCAATAAATATTATATTCGGCCACGCCAAATAGTCTGTGGATTTCCTATCCGAATAGACAAATATAAGGCAAAAGTATTCAGCTGGGAAGGAAATAGTGTTTATTCATCAGAGCATCTATTCTCTGAAGCTGGGATTATCTACAGGAAGAAAAGCAGTAAACTACTGCCTGAAAATTAAGAAAAATTAGTCTTTCTCCACCATTATCTTTCATTTATAATAATTTAAGTGCATAGTTTATTATGTACCTATGACTACTTTTGATTACAAGAAAATAAAATAATTATAAAATGAATAAATATTCACATTTTAGCAATTATCTGACTATATGAAAACCTCTCATTTATGTGTATGGTATTTGGCCGAATAGTACCTAGATATTCAGTTTTCGACTGAGTAAATGTAGCAAAATAGGTCGAATACCAAATAATAGCAAAATATTCCTTGCAAGTCTAATAAAAACCAATGCTGCCTGTTATTCTTGCTAAAACTGGAACTGGCAAGACCAATTCTGATAAATGTTTTCTGGGTATTTGAGTGGGTTCCTGTATGGCATACGTCGCACTGTCATCCAGAAATCCAGAAATAAGTATGTATAATTTTTTTATATATAATTATTTCTATAATATTTTTTTACATGGTAGAGCCATACTGCAGTTATATTAGTAGTGTAGTTGTAGCACAAATGGGTCGGCTCCACCGTGGAAGGACCACACTCTCACAGATACCAGCGTCAAATAGCAATTTAATGCTGCTGTGTTTCGGATGGTGAGTGTAGAGAACCGGAGACCCTTTTTACTGGAAACGAGGCATTCCACCTAAGTCCTCACGGATGATAACGCATCTGCATTTTGATTCGTAATCGAGGATAGATGTAGATGTCTATGAGCCACAGCAACCACTTACCATCAAGTGGGATGTGTGCTCGTTTGTCATCCTATCTTGTAAAAAAAACCCATGCAAAGTCGGGGTGAATAGCTAGTATCTTAATAGAAAATAAATTTATCTCTTACATATTTCTTGTATGTAAAACATAATAAAATTGTCTAGTCTTGAATACCTACGAAAACTATGGCACCAAGAATGGTATGTGGTGAATCTTTAAATTGCAATTAACTAGGATTATATCAAGGTTGATAACCTTAAGCTGCTAATGTTTATTTTAAGTGAAGTAAGTTATGTTGTTTCAGGCACCTTAGCTAGCACGGCTATAAGATATAGATTACCATCATCAACATTATGATCTCTATTAAGTCAACTGCTGAACAAAGCCTTATTCTTTTCACTGGTTTTGTCTTTTCAAATGGTTTTCAGTATAAGACTGCTACTCTACTACCATTTGTAGTCAATTCTTTCAAATAACTACAACTGGCCCATTTTTAATTCCCACTAAGATAATTAAAAGTTTTTAAAAATTGGGAAGTTATTGTTTTTACCTCATTTTTCGAAAATTGAATTTTCATCAAATCTTGATGTTTTGAGGTCACAGGAAGCAACCCTGACAATTTTTCGATGGTGTCTGTATGTATGTGTGTGTGTATGTGGATGTAAACCTTTCATAACTTTTGAATGGTTTGACAGATTGAAATGAACTAAGCAGATTTCCTATCTGTTTCATCAAACTTAGATTTTCTATGAATTTTAACTAATTTGGATAATATTTTTTGGAATAACTTTTAAACGCCTTTACCGATCGATTTCAAAAACTAAGCAGCTTTTAACCTTGAAAAATTACGTCGAACGTCCGGTCTGGTCAAAATCGGTTGATTCGTTCGTGAGATATTGTTAACGAAAATTTTTGAAAAAATGGATTTTTTTAAATTACTCCGATACTTCATATTCAGCGTCATAGTTTGGTGAAATTTGGAGTGCTTTGCATTTGAAAGTGCAGAAAGTTCCACGGATGGCATGCAGGATCAACCAATCTTTTTTTTTATTGGAGAGGGGTAAACAAGCAAACAGCTCACCTGATGGTGGTGATGACCATCCATGAACAACTGCAATACCAGGGAATTTCAGATGCGTTGTCGGCCTTTTAAAAGGGAGAAGGTACTTTTCTCGAAGGTCCCTAAGTCGTATCGGTCAGGAAAATTTCTGGTGGTAGTCGATTCCATAAGGAAGTTGTGCGAGGAAGAAAACTTCTTTTGAATCGCACAGTGATAGACCGCCAGTCATCCAGATGGTATCGCAAGTTTTGTCGCGATATACGATGGTGAAATTGTGCGGCTGGAATTATTCCGAACAATTCCTCAGAGCACTCCCCGTGGTAAATGCGATAAAATACACAAAGAGATGCAACATATCTTCCCAGTGCCAGTGAGTCACGCCGCTCGGAAAGAGCACGGTCGTCCACGATTCGAACGGCTCTGCGCTGGATGCGATCAAATATAAGGAGCTGGCACTGGAGAGCCCCAGCCGAGATATTGGAACAGTATTCCATGTGCGGCCGAACCTGCACATTGTAAAGTTGCAGGCGGTGTGCCGGCATTAAATACTGTCCCGCTCTGCTGAGCACGCCACGGTTTTTTAGACGTCAGTTTGGCTTTTTTTCAATCAATTCAATTTTCTCTTTTCCAAGTGACCACGAAATTGCACGTCACTAGATATGTCGACGTCGAGGATTCCGGTACCGGCTGAGGCAACAAGGGGAGTGACTTGAAACTGAGGAGATACGACGAAGTTTGTCCCTGTAATCGGCGACGTTTTCCCGAGAAATATTGAAACTGCCGGTGTATAAAGCATCACCAGTGCTGTCGTCCGCATAGCAATGAATGTTACCGATTTGTAACATATCATTGGTATGCAGAAGAAACTGCGTTGGTGATAGCACGCAGCCGTGAGGAACACCGGCGGTAATGGGCTTGTGATCGGAGCATGCACCGTCTACTACGTCCTTGATGCTACGATCTGCAATAAAACTGGTGATCCAATTGCACAATTTCTCTGGAAGCCCATAGGAAGGACGCTTCGTAAGAAGCGCTTTGTGACAAACCTGATCGAAGGCCTTCGCTATGTCCAAATTTACGGCCAATGCCTCCCCGTTGGACTCTACTTGCCTCCTTCCATCTAAGAAAATCACCAACTGAGCTACCCAGACCAAAACCGTACTGGAGGTCACTAATCAGCTTGTGATCCTCAAACAGCTCATGAGCTGGCTGTTAATAATGGACTTCATTATTTTAGAGAACAAGGAGGTGATGGCGATAGACCTATAGTTGGACGGATCAAAGTGGTTACTTTTTTAGGGATCGAGTGCACGAAAGTTGTCTTCCATGAATTCGAGACTACGCCTAGGGCGTAGGAGTACTGAAAAAGACGCATTAAAACCGGTGCCAACTCCGGAACACGTCTTCAGCACAATATGAGGGACGCCATCAGGCCCACTCGACTTGTCGACGTCCAGGAAGAAGAGTACTCTGGACACCGAGCGTTGGGTAAACAACACATCCTGCATGGATGACCGCGGGATGTTCGGCGATGTGTTCTCCCCATTCATCAAGAGTCGAGTTAGACGCAAAGAGAGAGCCCAGCAGATCGGCTTTGTCCTTTGCGGCATGAACAAGAAGTTTCTGTGGATAGTCTTGGCGAGAGACCAGAATGCACGTGTACCGAATGAAGTCGAACTAGTTTCTCGCCAGTTCTGCCGATGATGATGTGTGCTCTATCTTTGCCTTGGCAATGACACTTTTGAAGGACATGAAGCCGGAATTATACTTCTTTTTAAGAGCGCTGGTATTTGTATCCCGAGACGTCGATGCGTTAGTCCAAGCCTGGTAGCACTCCTGGTTATGGCGTAATGGGTGGCACTCCTGGTTATGGCGTAATGCAATTTTGCAGGAGCGACCAAACCATGGCTGGGTTCTGCCACCGATAGGTACCACAGATGATGGAATATAAAGTTCCATTATAGCAGTAGCACCACATCAGCGACAGAATCAGCAACAGCGCTGGGATCATCCGGCGAGAAGCAAATCCGCCCCCAAGCGTAGGATGCAAACAAATTTCGCCGGCAACCTGCAGAACGCAACTACGATGAGTGCGTGAATGGCACCGAACTCTGGATCAGACAATGGTCCGACGAGCCAAGAAGGGCAGCGATGGAGACCTGGTATCCGTCCGGATGAGAGGTCAGAAGAAGGTCCAACAGGGAAGGTACATGGTCGTCCACATCTGGGATCCGCGTAGGCGAGGTAACCAGTTGTGTCAGAGTCAGACCATATGTCAAAGCAAAGTCATCAACAAATGTACCCGTAAGATCGGTTAAACGGGAACCAAGCCATTCAGCGTGGTGGTCGTTAAAATCACCAAGCATCATGATCTCTGGGGATGGGACCTGTTGTAGCACGGAGTCCGCAGACATTTGAACGTGGTCGATGAGTCGGTCTGTGTCAGCATTACGGCCTGAGCAACCCACGTTCAGGAAGAGTAGGGTAGCTTGGGCGTGGATGCTCAGCGAGGGATTCTCTGTCACCAGGGTTGCTGGTACCCTCCTAGGGTAGTGTTGTTTTTGACTTCGCTACCATGTTAGGGGGGAGGGGGATATGGCCTCCGGCCACCTGAACTCGCAGCAAGCAGAGATTCTACTTAACGCTGGTCTTCTGTGAGGCCGTGGTACAACCCCGGTTCGAACCGGCCCATGCGTGCAACAGCAAATACTGCCGCGTGGCCCTCTACCATTGTAAAAAATTCATTGCCATTGCCATTTCAGCTCCGATATTTATTAAGCCATGTCAGTAACTTACATTTATAAAAGATACATATTTATAAAGAAATTTTTGAATAACTGATTTATATTTTTTCAGAGATCTTGAGAAATTTGACTTCTACAAGTTTAGTGAACACTACGATGATTACAAGTATGCAATGGAACTGACTTCTGAAATTTTATTTTTGGAAATTATTTACAGGATTTTAGTTTGTATTTTTGAGGTAATGAATTTTTTTGCTATATGATAATGATTGCAATTGATATTATTATGTTTTTTTATGGATTTAGGGGTGAAATTTTGCGCAGTCCACCTGATGGTAATTGGATGCTGTGGCTAATTTACACCTATATCTATCTTAATTATTTAGTATAAAGGGAATCTAGTTTTCATCATTCACAATATAAAAAAAGCATTCAATGTCATACTGATATTCTAGCATAGTCGATCTCCCATTAATTCAACCTTTTATTTACCTACCCAGGGTACAACTTGGAGCACTCCCTAGATACTGGGACCGGAGTCTGCATGTACATTACATAGGATATCTGATCTGCCCAAAGGGTGGGTTTGTTTTTGCTGTATGATCTCAACGTTGTTGCTGATTCCGTCGTCGATGTTGTACTTCAGGAAATGGAACTCTTTATTCAATCATCCGTGGCCCCCATTGTAAGCAGATCCTATGCCCAGCCTTGGCTTGGTTGCTGCTGTAAAAGTTTATTACGTAATAGTCAGTACTATTACAAGGCCAGGGCTGACACATCGCTACGGCGGGATGTTATCACCATCGCCCTTAAAAAACCTACCAAGGCAAAATCAGTGTATATTGGCAGAATTTGCGCGAAATTAGTTCGCCTTCCATTGAGAACCCGCGCGTTCTAATCTTTCACTGAGGCTGTCTAAGAGAATTTTTGTCAGTCATCTCTTCTATAGCTGCATAGGGAGGATGGCTCACTGGCCCATGCCGCAAAGGATAAAAATGAACACGCCGCCGACCATCCCGCAGTATGATTGCTTAATTCCGGTTGTGCAATATAAACAGTGCTCAATGCATCAAAGCATTGCTCTCCGTAGATGTCAACAAATAAAGTTGACGTGATTATAAGTCCCTCCTATTGTGCTGAAGACGTGTTCTCTGGAATGGGTACTGTATCTTACGCGTCTTTAGTGGTATCTTTAGTCGTTGTCCTGGACTCATAGAAGTGCTTTTAGCCTTAGTGCATCCAATCCCTAAAACGGTGACCGCTTAGACCTGTCCAGCTACAAGCCTACCATCAGTTTTTTTTTATAGAATGTTGTTAAAAAACGAGTACATAGTCCACATGATGGTAACTCGGTTAAGAATCAAAAAGCCGACCCGTTTGTGGCACAAATAAACACGTAAAAAACACGTAAAACCTCATTGTTCTCCAAAATAATGGAATCCGTTATAACCTGCCAGTTCAGGAGTTACCTCGAGGAACACATGCTAACCAGTGACCGACACAACGGTTTCCATCAGGGTCGTTCAGCTGGTGATTTTCTAGTTTATCTGACTCATAGGTCCCTAATAAAGAGTACATAATAAAGACCTTCGATTGACCTTGGCACAAATTACTTGTTTTGTTTTTATGGACTTCCCGAGAAATTATGCAATAGGATCGCCAGTTCACTTATAGTGCGAAGCTTCAAGGTCGTAGTTAACGGTTGATGCTCGAACAGTAAACCTATAAATGCTGGTGTTCCACAAGGTTGCATGCTTTCATCTATGCTATTTCTTCTGCATATCCGTGATATGTTGCAAACAGATAACAAGTATAGCTATGCAGATGACGGCATTGGTGATACTTTTACATAGGCAATACCAATATTTTTGGGGCCACATTGACTGCCGGAACAAACCTCTGTCTGAAGTCGAGTCTTTGTTAAACAAAATTTTGAATTGTGAGCGACTAAATCTCCTAAATTTCAAGGCATTCCCTTATGTGAGCATCGGAATCCTCAGCGTTGACGTATCGAGTGACATTTAGTGCTGCGGTTACTTGGAAGGGAAGGCCTCTATTAAGTTTGGTGCGCTCAGTAAGGTAGAATTATTTCAAGTCGATACACATATCATAAAGCTTTGTTTTATGATATAATTTATATCTATCATAATTTACACCATTTAAATAATTTTAGGGTATAAAAATGTTTAACAACAAGCACTGAATATTAGCTGAATTTAGCTGTGATAGTGAGACTACTAGGTTATAGTTTTATATTATTGTATTGTCATCAGTTATCATACAGTATATGGTTGTAAATTCATGTATAAAAATTTAATCTAACCAATCATAGCTGTTAGAAATAGCTTTTCTTTACCAGCATTATGATGATGAGCCCTTAGATTATAAGTGAGTAAGCGACCATCAAGGTATATATTAATTAAACACGGGTGGATAGTAATGTAATTTTTGTCTAAGCCCCATCTCAAATATTAGCCAACCTATTAAAAATGTAGTTTCTTGAATATAAATGTTGAAAAATTGTTTCAGGCATTTTGTTTAAGCGGCAGTGTAGGTCGCACAGGAGGTGCTACGCCAGGAAAGGCCTTACTTGGTCTCAGGGTAGTTACTGCATCTGCTGTTATTCCAGTTGAAGGTAGACCCAAGGAAACCGTGCTGTTATATCCAGGAAGACCGCTTAGTTTCTTCCTAGCTTTAATTCGGTCAATCATGAAGAATTTTCTTATTTCACTTTTGTTTCCCTTATGCGTTGTCCTTTTTGTATTTCGCCATAACCGAACGGGCTATGATCTACTGTGCGGAGTTATTGTGGTTGAGGAAAACATGTTTCCGCCTAGAAGACATGCTCCGTAGATACATAATCCGTTAAAGTTTTATTTGCTTTGTACATTTTACTAATGGTCATGTGCTATAACCATGTATATTTTTTGATACACACTTTCAATTTGTTTATGTTCCAATGCAATGTATGGAAAAATATAAACTGCCGATTAATTTCTATAAAATATGTATGGGCTATGAAAATTGTTATTTGGCTATGCATATTAATTTATTAAGAACTAAGATCAAGAAAGTGATGGAGTGCAGTAAAACTGTTGTATTTTTAATAAATACCTATAATTGCTTTTTAACATGAGAAAAGGAGGCGAGAATTTTGTGATAATTCAAATTATTTTGTAAATATTGTTAATATTAAAGTTTGGAAATTATATCACTTCATTTTATTCATAAATAGCTTTATTGCATATTTTATAACCTATATAAAGAAAACTGCAAAATTGATGTGTTCGCCGCACCGTGGCTTGGCATTGAGTTGTGCCGCTAATGGCCGTAAATAAACTGCCTCGATGATAAAGTAGAAAACCTTAGTGTGGGATAGTAGCTTAAAAAAAATATTAACAATATTCATGTTCGTTTGTTCCGAAATTTCGAAATTCTTTGCCAAGCAAATCAACCATCAGCTTTGAAATCTTTGCATTAAAATAGCGTGCTTTTATTTAAGTACCCACATTTTTGAAAAACAGCGGACGTAAAAACAACATTACCATTCAACCACATTGAGTCACAGGCGCGTGGCCGGGTACTACTAGTAATCATTCGAATATTTTTGGTAGTCATCAAATGAGTTTTTTTTTTTTTTATAGAAGTTATGGTGACATACAAGCACACAGTTCACCTAATAGTAACTAAATTACATACGTATTTTTTACGTGGTAGAGTCATGCTACAGCTATATTAGTGGTATAGTTGTAGCACTATTAGGTCGGCTTTACTGGGAAAGGACCACGCTCTCACGGTATACCAACGTAAAATAAGTGCTGAACGCCGCTGTGTGTTCGTATGGTGGTGAGTGTAGAGAACCGGAGACCCTTTTTAGTGGAAACGGAGCATTCTATCTTTAGTCCTCATGGGTGACAACCACAGAAATCTTAATAATAAGACAATAGAAATCGCATAGACGCGTGACCTTGTCGCCGCTGTTATATATTAACGAACATAATTCACCATTTTGTGATTTAGTTGCGCGGAGTACGTCGTACCTGAATTTATGTTATGATGAACTGCAGCATAATCAGTTGTAAAAACTCATCAAAGGCGTATATTTCAACTAATAGAGGCATAAAATTTCATCGGTAAGTTGATTATTTACTAATTATCATAGTTTTAACAAACTTATATAATAGATGTTACTGTGATGTACTTTACTATGATATTTATCTTTGTAAACTTTCAATTATTTCTTTTCGTACAATTACCATTGCTGCTTTTATTCTACGTTGACAAACTCGAAAAGCAATGTAATATCAAACATTAGATACCATTGTGCATTGTGCGTATGTTTATAAATACGGTAAGATGTGGCGACTGGCGACATCGGTTTTGGAAGTAATCGAGCGCTAATTCATTGTCTTATTACTATTTCTGTGGTGGTGATAAATGTAGATGTCTATGCGCTCAGCAACCACTAAAACAATTGGTCGCCTTCCTCTTCCGATGCTGGCCTCCTATCCCGCCTTGACTTGTCTCTGAACGACCAAACGGGAACAGTTTTCGGGCCTCTCCCTTCAGCTGGCTTCTTAATCCGGCCGCGGGAAGCCCTACCACAATGAACCTCTGAGACACGGGTCTTGCGCCCCCTAGCAAGGATCAACCAATACCACCACGCTGGGTTCGGGCCAACAAGGTGGGCGTAACCCTAGACGTTCGACTCCGTACAACGACCCCGTTTCTTAAAAATAAGGGTCATAGCCCACTTAAGGTCATAGCACACTTAAACGACTCTGCTCCAACACCGCTCCTACTCAATACCGCCCTGAACTAAGGAGACAGCTAGCTGGCACCCAGCAGTCTACGCGGTGACAGCTAGTAGGCACCCAGCTTTCCACGCGCCGACCGCTTTCGCTTTTCGCGATAGACACAGTTCGTGGTCAGTTTCCATTGTAGCAACTCGTATTTCTGGTATGTCTCGATTAACAACGCGCGAACTAGAGATTATTGCTATTGGACTTGACGATGAAGATAGAAGCTTAAAAAACAACACGAAGATTTTGGATGCATAAAATGCGGCCGACCGGCGGGCGCGGCGCGGCGTCCGCTAGGCAGTGTTGCCGTTTTAGCGACTCTCTCGCTAGATCTAGCGGATTTTAACAATGTTTAGCGGATAAAAAAATCGTTAAGCGAAAAATAATTATTTAGCGACTTCTAGCGACGTTTGGACTTTTGAGATGGCGACTTTCTTATCAAGTAATTCATTCGTAGTAATTTTGTAATCTACCTATTATATAATTTCACGAGAATTCCCGAATATAAACTAACAATTCAATGTCCTTCATTCACTTTCATAATTTTCGACGAACAAAAATGCAGCAGGAGTAAACATATTCGAAAATTTATGTAATTTTGCAATAATATCTAATAATATCACTACCGCACTCAAATGCAGAATTTGAACGCCTATTTGGTGCTATGAATATAGTTAAAAGCAAACTGCGAGACAAGCTATCGGTAAAAACTTTGAAATTCTTTTAATAAGAAATCAATTAAGGATTCAAAAAAAAGAATTGCGCAATGTATAATATTCCTAAAGATGTTGTCAACCAAGTCGGTAAGGGCAAACCAAAGATGGGAACTGGAGACATTGGCGAAGCTTCAACTTCCGCTGAAGTTCTTTTTGAAAATCTGGATCCATACTTTGCTATTAATTTTGAAATTTAGGTACAAGAACGTACTGAGCTAATTGTTTTATTTTTAGTAAGATGACTAATGTTTAAACGTGGTTTAAAGATGAAAGATTTATTTTTTTACAATATTTTTTTTATTTTGTACATGAATAATTTTTGTTTTGGTTGTCATGTCATTAACCTACACTATAAATAACTGATTTATATGAAATAGAGTTCGCTCTTTTTAAGGTTTTTCTGAATTTATACATTTAGATTTTCGATATTCATTATACATATACCATTTGGCAAGATTTTTCAGATAGCCCAATGGTAGGACGAAAATGTACCTAGGGATATCTAGCGGAAAAGAAAAAATCCTGTTTCTGGTGGATTTTTTCTGTTAGTCTAGGGACTTTAAAATTTGTAGAACGGCAACCCTGCCGCTAGGCCGCTAGCACTAGCAGTCACCGCGTGCATAGATTACCGCGTGGACGCCGTGCAGACCGCTTGCTTGCATCGCGTGGTCAACGAGGCATCGACTACCGAGCGATCCTGACAGCGGTAAGCTCGCTGTCAGCGAGCTGTCTGCTAATTTATTTTGCAAATGTATAATGTATCTAAAGAGCAATACTTAAAGCCCATATTTGAATTATATTATTTTTGACCGGTGGGAGCGGAGTTGTGTAAGTGGGCTAAGACCCTAAGGGTTGACGACTAAGATTACGGGTCCTTAAGGAATGATCTCGGTCTTGACGTCAGACATGTACCTATTGAACTGTATTTTCTCGTACTTCCCTACTATTAGGGTGAACACCGAAGGATTTTTCAATACCACATCAATTGTTCGTAAATTCCCCTTGGAAATGCGATATTGAAACTTTCACTACTTTTATCACTTTCCCTTTACTTTTCATAATTTCTTTTTCTTTCTTGATTTAGAACTGGAAACTGTAGCCAAATGAATTGCAATTTTTTTGCGCCCACAAGCGAAAGTAAAGGGCTACTCTCCGGGAAGAGGAGGGAGATGGTGAATGCTCTAAGCATACCACGCAGCCGGCAGTGTGGTTATGTGGGACTCGCTGAGAAACCTAGAGTGCCTACCCACTAAACACCACCTTAGACTGGCTTTAACCTGGTAAGGGCTTATTGCCGTATTGGAAGCGACCCCCTCCCCTCTTGGGGAAAGATGGGGCGAATTGCAATGTACGATGTCTTAGCAGGTCTCGGGCTTCGAGGCATTCCCCGTTACCCGGATATTCCTCCCAGTCCAATACAGTGGACCGGTTTTGGAAGCCGTTCAGGACCGGCGTTGTTGACCATCTTGGCTTTATGGCGTATTTCGCGCCCTTGGGAAGAGATCTACCGAAGGGTCGGCTACCTCAAGCCCCACGGAGACGGATCTCAACGTAGAGCCGATGTTCTACCGATAAGTGTGCGCTCTCCCGAACAACAGCACGCCGGGCCTCAGGAGTTCGCTTCCCAGTATGTAGATTGAATGCAGCGATGAGGTTGTATCAGCCCGGGAGAAATCAGGGGTGACCTCGAAGCTTCACGGAGACAAATCTCAATGTAAAGCCGAGTTCGCTCCGACACGACGCGTACACCCACTGTTAAGCGACGCACCGTACTCACGGACGGGGATCGACGACCGAAGGACGGTGACCGGCAACGATTTAGTCCGGACACCGACAGGGGGTGGGGGGGGTGGGCGAATTGAAAGTACGATGTCTTCTTCATAAGCTACTTGGGCCTTGCAGGTCTCGGGCCTCGGTGCCAGTCCTGGGAGCCGTTATGGCATTGTAGGTTTAGCGGCGAGCGAGGATGATCCTTTGCTAGCCGTTTGATTGGGGGTCTAGTTACAATGGTGGTCAATCTTTGACATTGAGGGCTGTTACTCAACTCCCTAATCTATATAGGGAGGAGTTGTCTTGGATAAGGTTGCTCGTCCGGGGGCCGAGTGTGTAGCGGCGTAATAGTTTTTCAAGTGTGGGTGTGGCCCGTTGTCGGCGTGGTTGAAAGGCGAATTGCAAGCTGTCTTTTGCGTGGGCTTTCCCCTTTACCCGGGCATTCTTCACGGCACACTACAGTGTGCCGGTCCTGGGCGCCTTTGATGTTAAAGGCGATTTTATTAAAAACGACTTTGGTCGCAGTCGAGTAATCATTTAAAAAAAGGAGGTTGTCTATTATTTGATCCTCCATATTTAAATACAAATATTTTGTCTGAGTTGCCTATCTGCGGCATTGTGGCGTTTACTCGACTCCCTAATCTATATAGGGAGGAGTTTTCTTGGATAAGCTCGCCCGTCCGGGGGTCGTGTGTATAACGGCGCAAAGCCGTTAAGGTGTTGATGTGGCCCGTTGTCGGCGCGGTCAAACATACCGCGCGCCAGCCGGACCACAAACTCATCGCTATGACGTCATTCCGGACGAACCGCACCGACTATGGTTCGTAATGACAAATTCTGCTGGGACTGTAGTCGCCGCTTCTGTCGATCGCTCAGAAGCGCATACCAGGCCGGAGCAGCGTGTGTTAGCAGGGGTCTTATGTACATTTTGTATGTGGATAACTTTGACATAGCCGGTAACTTGGATGCCAGGACTGGACGGAGCATCGCCCGCGCACATAGGGCTTTGCGGACGACGAAGATGACGTGCGCAGTCATGCGCAACATCCTGTCAATCCGGCATCCAAGGCCTCTGAGGGTTAGCGGTGGTGGAAATCTTCTGAAGCGGCGAGTGAGCAGAGCGGTCGTCTTGCCAACATTGACGGCCATCCTCCACTCATCCAGCCATGGTGGCAACAGGTCCAGCAGACGTTGCATCCTGGCAGTGACGATGTGGGCTCTTCTGGACGAGGTGAAGTAGGCGCTATCGTCCGCATATAACGCCAATTCCAAGTCGTTCTCCCACTCTTGCAGCCTTCCTGCCAGTGTTGGGATGTCGTTGGTGTAAGCCGCGTACAGGACTGGAGACAAACAGCTGCCTTGTGGAACGCCGGCTCTGATGGATTTTGTTGCGGACTCGGCGTCCTCTACGCAGACTTAGAACTTCCTGTCTGCCAGGAAAGACGCCACTAGCCGCAACATATCAGGAGGGACACTGGTCTGTTCTTCCAATTTGTAAAGTAATCCAGAATGCCACCCTATCGAACGCCTTCTCGATATCGAGAAAGACGCCCAACGATGTGCGGCCACGGTTGTACTCAGCCACAAGCAGGTGCAGCACTCTGGTCAGGTGTGTTGCTGTTGAGTGATCCCTCATGAATCCGTGCTGCTCCGCCCGAAGTTGGATGCACGGACGGAGGCGTCTCAGCAACAATCTTTCTAGCAGTTTAGCTATGTGCGGTAGCAGCGTGATCGGCCTGTAGCTGGCAGCTCTACGCCTGTCCTTCCCGGGTTTCGGCAAGACGATGACTTTGCCTTTCTTCCAGTCCTCCGGGAAGTGGGATGTCCGCAGTATCCCCTTGTAGAGTCGAACAAGCTCTACTAGGACTCTGTTGGGCAGCTGTCGGAGTGCAGCGTTGGTAATCCCTTCGTGCCCCGGCGCCTTCCTCGGTTGCAGGTGGGTTACTGTCCTCCGCAGTTCAGTGGGGGAGAGTGAACCACTCTCCTGCAAGCGGTGGCGCGGGCGACGACAGGGACTCCTGTACGCGACTCTCCTTCCGGTATGAGCTCCATGAACTCCGCACTTGCAGGGTTCGGCATAAATTGCTCCTCGAAGTGCTCTACTAGGATGTCCGCTCTACCCTCGGCATCGTAACGCCGTTCGCCCGCGTTGTTGGTCAGCGGGCAAACGGGAGGTTTGGCTTTAGTTAACTGTCGGTTCAGTTTATAGAGCGACGCATCGTGCTTTTCCGCCTTCCATATGCGTCGCTCCCAGGCCTCTCCTCTATGTGCCTGGACTGCAACCGACAGTTCCTCTGACAAGGTGTTCAGTTGCGTTTTGATTCTCGGGCAGCGAGTACGCGCCCAGAGCCTCCTCAAAGCTCTTTTTCGTTTGATCTGCACGCTTATCTCACGCGGCAGATCGTCTCTCCTTGGTGAGATCGGGACGATCGTAGAGGCAGCGTGGAGAGCCTCCTGGATCGCCTTAGTGATTCTAATAGCAGCGGCCTCTACGTCGTCCGCTGTGCCTAAAGGATGGTGTGCTGGAGGTCTCTCCTGCAGGTGTTGATGGTAGAGCCTCCAGTCGACACCATTCTTAAATGCTTTGGGCGGCGTAGTCACCGCCTTTAGGCCAAGGGTAGTCAAGATCGGGAGGTGCTGTGAGTTAAGGCCGTACAGCACCTCCACCACTATCGGGTAGTTGACGTTCCTAGAGAGCACGATTTACAATACATCCGGACGTTTCCGTGGGTCTGTCGGAACGTGTGTAGGTTCTTCGGAACCTAAGACCTCGTAGTTGTGTCTTTCAGCATCTTCGAATAGTTCATGACCCGGCGGGTTGACCACTCTAGATCCCCACACCGGGTGTTTGGCGTTTAGGTCCCCGGCGATAATTGTAGGTGTTTCGCCTTCCATTACCGTCCGGACGTCTGAAGAGCAGAATGGAGTCCCTGGCGGGCGGTATGTTGCGTATATCCTTAGTTCCTCGCCCGCTGCCTCCATTTTTATGCCGATAGAGCGCATCGATTGATATTCTGGTAAGTCCAGTTCTTGATGGAGGATGTCCCTCCTCACTAGAACTGCCGTTCCTCTATAGGCGGCCCCTTGAGAAGTGACCTCGTCCCTCCTGTAGATGTAGTAATTGGGAAGCTTCACGTGCGTGTTCGGATTTAATTTTGTCTCTCCCAGGAAGATGATTGAATGTCTTGTTGTTGGTTCATGTAGCTTCTGCTGTATCCCATCCGGGTTCCAGTAGAGGAGGCGCAGGTTACTCTCCTCCGTAATGTCATGCTAGGAGGTTTGCCAGTGCCTTCGTCACCGCTGTGATAGGATCCGTCCTGGCTCTAAGATCGGCCAGGACCTGACTGCCGACTTCGATTGCTATGCCAACCAAACGTTGGATGGCGTCAGTAGTCTCGAAGCCGGCTGATGGTGTTCTTTGCGCCTGAGAAGGCGTTAGCACTGGTCTCGGGAGTTGGTTTACAATTCTTTGTTTACGGGCAGAACGCGCTCTATATGTAGAGCGAGCTCTATTTTCAGATAGAGCCCTTTCTGGCACTCTACCCATTCTAGCTGCTTGATCTTCCTTGGTAACCTGCGCCTGGGCTATCGTTACCGCTGGGGTAGGGTAGAGGTGGCTGCCTGAGGAGGGGGCTGCACCTTCCTCTTCTTCTTCCTCCCCCGCTTGCTCTTCTGAGAGGTTTGACGCTCAATTGCGTCATTTGCGGGGGGCTGGAGAGTCGCCCCGGCGGTTGCCTTAGTTGTTATTACGACCGGCACCACCGTTTCCATAGGTGTCGTGACGGGTGGAGATGGGGGGGGCGGTCTGCCTACCCTTTTCTGTAATAGTAGTCCGCCCGTCTTCCTGGACCACGGCCCTGGGACGACTCTGGGGGACCCTCTTGGGCTCTTCCGGAAGTAGGCCCGGCAGAGTGATCCCCTGCTTCCTTGC